TCTTTGATGTTCTGAAGGAACCATGGAGTGCTTTACAAGTGACCCACTGCTTTGATAGCTGCTACACCTCCAGATACCATACACAGCAAAGATAGGAAGCTGAGGTAAGAAAAGCTAGATAATAGATTCCTTTGCCTGAAGACTAGAACACTCTTTATTCAAAACACTAAAAGGAAATTAATTCTAAAGTCAAAATAATAGGTGCAGTTATTGTTACCTGCTCTAACTGTAGAGGTGCAGGCTTCGACTGATGCTTTATCTGGAACTGGTACCTGGGACTTCAGGGTGAGAATTTTCCTTCAGAAAAAGAAATAACATACTATAATATAAGATCACATCTGCTCTAAGCAGCTTTAACCCTATTCCCTCTCCAACTTGTCACTTTGCTGATGAAAACCAAAGTTCAGAGAAATTAATACAAGTTCATTTTGAATAACAATAAAATGTACAAGTGAATTTAGAAACAAGTAATGCTATACTTGTTTTTCCTAGTTTCTAATATTTTGTTGGCAACAATGGCATGGCCTTAAACTACAAATAAAATGATCGGTATAAATTATACTTATGTCAATTTTTAATTATCTGTGACATTTTTCAAATAAGTCTTTCAAATATTATGGAATATTACCTATACACTCAGTAGAATCAGGTTCAGTATTTGAATGCTAACTGAAAAGAGTACAATAAATGACTTGGGATGGGAAGCCAATGAGACCTGTATCAACCACTTTATGAAAACAAGTTCTGGAGATATGTTGACAGAGGTCCTTCCTATTCTGAGCTGACCTTTCCCCAAAACCCAACTAAAGCATTTTTTTTAAAGGGACAAATACAATTTAAAAGTAAATTCAATAAAAAGCATGTATTTGGAATATATATACATTTATTTATAGATATATTTGTAAGACTCACCTCAGTCACAATGTTTATAGTAAGAGAAAGAATCAACAACCAAAGTTTACATTTAAAAAGGAACTAGTTTGCCAAGATGGTGAATATTCACCTAGATTATCACTGATGACCAGTTTCTTATCATGTGACTGCTCTTTGCTTTGTGATTGTTATAATCATCCATCAAATCCATTGCAATAAATATTAGTTTTCATTAAATTCAAAAAACATTAGAAATAAAAAAAAGTCTGGATAATGCTTTCATATGTTTTCTCCCACTTCTTCCATGAAGGCCTGGCAAGGAGGCCACTTAATAGGACTCCTCTTCTCAAAGGTGAAGCATATGACTGAGCACAACGTATGAGAGGTGACTATTATGATACTGATTTCTGTGGGTGGTTTGTGAAGTTACTCTCAGGACTTATAAAGTAATGAACCATTTACAATGTCATTTACAAATTATGTGAGTTAATCTTAATAAATTATCCTTACTACTTCTTAATAATTAAAGCTGCAACTTTTTTGGAGTCCTCTACAACACTGTTACTGTTATTACTGCTAATGTGCAATGTGTCCAGTCTTATAACTTGTGCCATAAGGTGAATCAATTACTTCGCTGACTTTCAACAAAGGTATACTGATTTATATTGTAACACAAGCTGATTATCTTACTGTGGACCATAAACTGTTTGGAAACTGGTATCAATCTGTTAGACCACACTCAAGTAACAACTGCCCTACATCGTCTAGTACATTGCCCAAACATACAAGCGCTAAATGAAACTAATTGGGAGCATAACAATTTACGTTGTTACTGAAAGAAAAAACTTTGTTAGAGTCTTGTATCAACCAAATGGTAGAGAACAAAACTGCCTGTAAGCCGTCTCCCTTATGCTCTACCTTGTTGCTTAACTTATACCTGATCATCCTGAAACCACTGAAAATGGGAGGGCACAGAGAAATGCATGACTGAATGAACCTCTGGTCTTCAACAAAAACAGAATCACCAAAGGATTTAAGTTCTGCCTCAATTCATTATGTCTCTGTATATTAAGGAAATGTCTAATATCATTCTAAGATATCACGATAACTACTAAATAACACACTCTGTACAAAGGAACTTTTCATAGCAGAAAACATTACCAAAAATCAAAGTGTCTAAGACCTAAATAAGAGCCAATCTATGCTTAGACTGTTCTATTACTGGTTCACAGTTTCATTAAACTATTATTATTATTTGAAATTTTCTCTAAAAACTTACCCTTCATGGATTGATGGTACACAAACAGAAGCTTCAACTCCTTGAATAGGGTTTGAGTGATTTAATTCTGAAAGCACTTTCTCTGCAGCTAAGAGAGCCTTTGTTTCTGCATCTTCTAAAGTGCCTATTAATCAAACAATTAACATTTACAATTATTTATGCTAAATTTTAGCAATTACACATGGTCTTAGACTACGACTTTTTAACAAGTTGTTGGGTCTGCATTTTTTATACTTTTAGGTTTACTCCGTTGACATCAGACTGCAACAGTTCCTTCTAACTTTATAAGTTTACCCCAGGAGCCCCCCTTAACCTACTACTCTCACTTTTGGCTTACCAGGCACTGCTAGTGTTTTATACATATCAATTCGCTTGAAATTTAGCCTGTTTCACTCTAGAGTCTGCTTTATAATCCCCTAGAAAAATGATAAAAATTTCTATTTGAGACTGCCTAATCATTTTAGAAATATCAATAAAGATACTGCCATGAACATCCTCATCTAATATTTACTATTCAAGTATTTTAGTGAAACATCGCATGTAAAAAGAATGTAAACTTCTAGACATATGCTATTTATGAAAATAGTTCTAAGTTCTTAATACAATTAATAATGCTTACGTTTATTAAAATAAATAAAGACATAATATCCCAAACTTCACTGGACTCAGATTTTAAAAAACCTTAGTTCAGCTAAGGCAGGAAACGTTTCCCAAGAGAAACCACTATGTTCCAGATTTTTATAAAAGTATTTGGTTTTACAGATTTAAAGTTAGGAGTTACCTTTAAATATGCTTGTTAAAATTGTGCAGGGGTAAGAAACATAAAAATAGACTGTTTTCTGGTCCACCAATTCTAAGCCAATACTCTCCCCTTCCTAGCACTCTCCGATCCCATCCTGTGTCCCCTAGCACAGCACTTACCAATGTTCTAAGTGCTTGTTAGTTTATTATAGTCCACTAAGCTCTAAATTACATGTGAGCAGGTGTCATGTCTACTCACTGTTTGGTCCAGCACACACACAGGAAGAGCCCGCCTGCTGATGCACACACATTAGGGGTTCACGTTTTTTTGACACATAAATGCATATAAAGACAATAAATTCATGGGCCTTTCAACATTTATTTTTGATTGTCCAGTGATTATTTTGGAGATAAGGAGGGAGAGCAGAATGAACTTCCTGGTCTCAGAGCAGCTATCTAGAAAGTTGAGGCTGCTGGATAAGTTAAAAATTGTAATCTCAATCTCATCTGTAAAGTTAGTTTTATTTCTCATAACGTTAGTTTTATTTCTTACAGGAAGGACTTAAGTCAGACTGACGTCTGATATTTTTTCCTTACACATTCTTTTCCAAATTTCATTTCCAAATAAAAGAACATAAGTTTCTCCTCCCCTTGTATCTCATACCTGCTTATTAGGAATGAAACAATGTAAGCTACACTTGTAAGTGAAAAGAATAAGATGTCTGTATTGTGTCATGTAATTATTTAACCCTGATGCTTTTCTCATGGTGGAAAAATTCTATTGCAAATTTGACTGAGGGATGTCAATGGCCATCTTGACATTTGGAAATGAGTTCTTACCCATTTGTTTCTCCAGGTCTAGAGGAGTTACTTCGAATTTAAACACATCTTTATCGCTATCCTTCTCAGGTTCTTCAGTTAAATTAGTAATTAGTTCAGTGGAAGAGTTCTCTGGCCTAGAGGCCACGCACATTTCAAACTCTCCTGGTGACGGTGCATCCTGATACTCTGAGGTAGTCTGCTCAGATACGGATGAAGCATTGCTATTTTCTTTGCTCACATCCAGTTTCTCCAAACTTTGTGAATGTGTATCCTGTGACCTCACATCCATTTCTCGATGGTCCATTTCAGGGCTATTCAGGTAAAAAGATGGTGTCTTATCTTTGTTCTTTGGCCATTCAGTTTCTGCTAGAACTCCACATTTATAGAAAGGTGTAGTAACAAAGGTTTTTGTTTTGCTATCATTTGCAGCCTGTTAAGTAAAAGGTTTTGAAAAAAAATTACTAGTAAAAAATCAGTCAAGTCTAAGCTATCAATCCCAATAATACCCACCCTTTTCCATGTTCAGTATTTCTCCAAATTCTCTTCTCAATCAAAATTCATATATTCTAAATTCATTCTCTTCAGATACATGATTAAAAGTTAATGAAATTAATAAATCAGTATTTCCAAAAATGATTAGGCAAGATGACTAATAATCACCAAATGGGTTGCTCTGAACCCACGGTAGAGCTCTAAAGATATACCCTTCTAAACTGACAACCGATTAGGAAAATTAAGAGAAGCAAATCAATGTAAGTTAAAAAGACAAAAAAACGTGGACTAAAAATTAGGAGGTCTTGATTCTACTCTCATTTCTGCCACCAAATAGCTATTTGATTGTAGTCAATTTACTTGGTGCTTCTGAGCCCTACATTCTTCACCTGTAAATGAACTTGGCTTAGTACCATAGTTTCTTTCTGAACTAGTGTTTTCTGATTTCATGATTATCTGCAAGACTGTATATAAAAATCTCTATGTAGTGATATTTAAATTGATTTATCTAACTTTTTACTTTAGGAGCTAATATATTCTTATATTGAGTCTTTTGTTCCAGTATTATCAAACTTACTCCAGCAATCCATTTTGTGGTCATGCCTTCTTCCATGAATGAAATTCTAGTTTCTTTAAGTCGTAGAGGAGGAGTAAGAGACCTTCCAGGTGACACAGAAGGAGATGCTAAAGGTGTTGATCGAAGACCAGACCTTAGGATGGATTGAGGAGTGAACTCAGCAAATCCAGAGGAAGCAACTGACATGGCCAAAGTTTTAGCTTTCTGTGGCAAAGAATGAATGAAATTAGACCGTTAGCGTAATAAAAGGCACATATGTAAGGACAGACAGGGTCAACTGAGTCACAATGGTGGCTATATTCTCATCTACAGTAAACATCAATAAACAGTTTATAGATTACTAGAAAGAAAATCCAAAATTCTACTCAGAGCATTCTATATGTAAGCCTACAAAACATTAAAATTGCATCCATAATCATTCTAAAGGCCTAGGTTATTCCCAGTTTAAATTCAACTTAAAAAACAAATAACTTATCTTATTTCTGCACTTTAACTATTGACTAGTAAACTTTAGTTAGGTAAAAGAGATAACAGTTTGTGATAAACAGAATCTAGCTTAACTACAGCAAACTAATCCAAATTAATGACACTGACTTTAAGAGTATTTTAGAAAAAAAAAATCACCACATGAATACAAAAGTAACGGAATTATCCATAAAAATCCTGTAAAGATTTATTATAATGAATACAAATAGCACAGAAACCAGTAGAAATAATCCCTTAACTTCTTTGCTAAAGGAATAGTAAACAAATTACCTCATTAGATTACTGAATTCCATTAGATCTGTTACAAGATTATATTAATTTTTTTTCTGGATTGTTTTTGGTAGCAGGTATGAAGCTATGCCCTGATTTAATTTCATTTGGGCCTAGCTGTAGAGAATATAAAATTTGATTGTTTTTTGATTAAAAAAAAAAAAAGTTAAAAATACCTTACAGGTATTAAATGTCAGGAATTTACTAATATTATCGACCTTTTAACTATTTTAGGAATAGCATTTACTGAAGTATATTTTATTCATCTTGAAAAATAAAGAAATTCCCTGGCTCATATAAAATGCTGGATATCCAGAAACAAACAAAAAAAGGAAGAAAGCTTCTAGGATTAAATTTATAACACTGGACAAGATACCTTACAGGTATTAAATGTCAGGAATTTACTAATATTATCGACCTTTTAACTATTTTAGGAATAGCATTTACTGAAGTATATTTTATTCATCTTGAAAAATAAAGAAATTCCCTGGCTCATATAAAATGCTGGATATCCAGAAACAAACAAAAAAAGGAAGAAAGCTTCTAGGATTAAATTTATAACACTGGACAAGGAGCTAGGGGATATGTTATATATGTGAAAACATTTTGACAATGGGAAGGTAAAAGACCACTGTTACTAGTCATAAAAGACCACTGTTACTAGTCAAAATGTAAAAACATTTTGACAATGGGAAGGTAAAAGACCACTGTTACTAGTCTTAAGTTTGGTGGTTTCTCAGAAAATTATCAGAGACGGTGGAGACTAAAGAGATATGTGATAGTAGGAAGGAATAACAGTTTACAGTTTCATTGGAGTCAGAGAATTAAATAAAAATAGGAACTAAAAAGCATTTGACAGAAGTAGTAACTGCAAAATAGTATCAGAAATGGAATTTAAAAAATAAAGCAAACCCAAGAACATGAGAGCATTTTTCAAAGGATACAAGCCAATTTATAATGGCCATACAGAACCTTGTATTATTTTCAGGAAAATATAAATGTTAACCTCACGGATAATGTCAGTTAAGCAAAAAGCGTAAATTCAGCAAAGTCTATTTAAGACGATGTAAAAATACAGAAAGTATTTTGGAAAGATATCCACAAGAAAGAGGAAAAAGGGCTTAAAGCCATCGATTACCCAGAGATCAGTTAGAAATAGCTTATTTTTCCCTGCTACTTGAAAAATAGGAACTTCCTAGTTTCACCGTGAATGCCAGATATGTAATACTCACCTTAACTACAAGAGGAGTTTCAAGTAAATTTAATTCTGAAGCCCTGGAGGTATTTGGACGTGATCCTTTTAATTGTGGACTTTCTGGCAATGAACTGGATGTTAGGTACAAAGGAGATCTTGTGGGGGTGGTCTGCTGAATAAACCCCAAACATTGAGAAAGCTGGGGAACAGGATGAACCACCAAATCCAGGAGTCTGTAACCAGAGTATACACATGAATAGAAAAACCCTGGTAACTTATTTGAGTTATACTAGCAAACAAAAGAATTGAGTCTCCCATTACTTGGACCCCCACCCCCTATTCACCCCCCATGATGGCGACAACAGAGCACTACAGTAAGTGTCAGACCTTTCTGGAGCATGTGTCCAATGAAACTATACAGGTCACATGTCCATGAAGTGACTTTGTGGAACACTCAGTTACAACTGGTCCAGAAAGGTTCAGAAATTAAGAGGAAGCATTTAAAATTTTATAATAATTTCGCACTGTTATGACACCTAAGAATGTCATGATCAGTGAGTATATCTTGAGTGGGGTAGAGACTAGTTTAGATGTTGTGTCAAACTTACATGCTGAGATGCATGTGGTATCAGCATTGTATTAATCATGCCCACTATGATCATTATCCAATTGAGATAAATTAAAAATGAGGGAGAATAAATGGTTCTTTGTGACATTTCATCTGCGGGGCAATGAGTTAATAAACATAATAAGCTTATGACAGCACCTGACACATAATTATATGTTCAGTAAATGTTACCTATTATTACCTGTGATCATTTTTAACATACATTCTTTTGTTTATGGTGTGTGGGGGGGCGGGCATGAGATGTGGCTTTTTCAGAATTTTCTGTTTCAACCTTTACTTCTCTAATCCTGACTAATTCTTCTTGACTGTCCACTTCCTAATCAGAGTTCCAGGTCCCCTGGGTTAGTTGCCCCTCATCTATGCCCCTTGCTTCCCATCAGTATCTTTAGGGTTAGTACCCCTTACTGTATTTGTTTCCCTTTCCTGAAATGTTTTCCTTCTCAAATACTTTTCTGCCTCTAGGAAGTCTTTGAAGTTGAAGACAGCATATTCTCATTACTGAGCTTACGTAAAGCAGTCCTTTTGCATTTTCTTTTAACAGACTTAATGCTAACTCATTTCCACTGATCAAAGTTCTTAACTCAGATTCTGCCCAACTTGTCTCTTTGGCTGGTTTGTATCTGTATCCTTTTACTGTACTAAACAGTAAACTTGTTGAGTATGACAGCTTTCAGTGAGTTCTCTGAGTCCTTCTAGTAAATTATCAAAACCGAGGGTGGTTTACTTCATTTTTTAAATTATTTTATATTAGTTTCAGGTATACATACAATGGTTACTTTAGCACCCATCTGGCTTTAAACATAGCCATTACGATAATACTGACTACATTCCCTAGGCTGTACTCTACATCCTGTGACCGTTTTGTTACTACTAATTTGTACTTCTTCATCCCTTCACCTTTTACTCAGGCTTCTATATTCACTAGTAAATACAATAAATATGTGAAAAATAAAATGCAGTCGAGTATATTAATAAAATGCATTTGTTTAAAATATCAGAACATTAATTCAAAAGCAAAAAAAGAGAATTAGGAATTCTAGGTGATAACTGATTAAAAAAACATACAGTAAGGGAGTTCTCGTCTTCTTTCCTTCCTTTTACTAATATTTATTGGGCCCCCATTATGTGCCAGGCATTTATTTTCAAATGAAGGTGAACTGCTAATGATTAAAAATACTTAAGAAAACAAGGCAATACTTCCCAAGCAATCCGATTGCTACAATTCATTTTCGACATGTAAAAATGTTTTTCACCTACATGTGATGTACATAATGAATACTGGCTTATTTTATCTTTATGGTTCTATTCACAATAAAGACCAGACTGACCAACCAAAAAGAAAAAGTTAATTTTTTCAAATTAATGAGGTTAGTGACAAAAATGGAACCTCAGGATTCTACTGAATGGTTTTCTCTAATATCCCGGACCCAGTTCATAATAAATTAAAAGACTGATCTCACTGATGACTTGTATGAAGCAGGGATAATACAAATAGCATAAAAAGTTAATTTACAAATAATTTAAACTTGAAAGTGAAAATTTCAGGTTACAATTTCTGGTGAACCATATAGGTCACTCCCCCTTTCCCAATTTCCTAATAGTCTATTTTATGGTTTTATTTTCTAGTAATAAAAACAGTACCTTTTCACTACCCCAAAGTGCCTGTTTTCCTCAGCTGAAAAAGAACAGGAAAGTGCGGCATATTTTAGTGCCCCCAAAATAAAACTGCCAGTTACTGTGCCTTCCCTGTCACTCTATCCTTCACGTTCAGATGAGACAACAGAGATGATACGGGCTTTAAGACCCAACCTATTACCCACTGGGGACAGATTTACAGGAAGCATTTTCTTAATACAGGGTCTTCCTACTTGTTATTCTTATTAAGCACAGTTTCGAGATTTCCATTAAACTAAGAATATCCAATCAGGCTGCTAGACATTTCTCTCCCTATTGTCTGTTCTAATTCTTCTTTTCCTTTTCTACCTCATTTGTATTCAAATTCTGTATATGTAAACTGCTCACTTTTATATGGAGCTATCCTTAATAGATATCGTTAAATGCTCTGCATTGTGCTAACATTCATGTTTAAGGTGCCTATTTATGAAAGACTGCTTCTCAAAAGCAGGGCCTGTACAACAAATGGCACTGGTACCTACTGAGGAAAAGCCAAATTCTCACACTAACAAGACAATATGTTAGAGTTACACTAAAAAATCTATCGAGAAAAAATATTTTTGATTATATTTTCTACAGAAAATGTTAATTACCGCATTAGGTCTTAGGATTTCAACAACTTTTGACCATGATCCAAATAAGCAATGCATTTTAGTTCATAAACAAAACAAATTACATAAAAGAGCACTCAGCCTTCCGATGTAAAATGTCCACTGCTATTATCTTATTCTATTTCATTGAAAGATAGGCTAGTCACAAACATAATTCAAGTTAACGGTTTACTTTGCTCATGATTTTAATAAAACAAAGTTTCCTTTTTTTTCTCTAAGCAGTATGAAATCATTAAGCAAAAATCCTAAGTAGTCTACTAGCTGATGTAAAATTTACTAAAATTCCTATACTGTTCAAATTTTGTTTTAAAAAAAGCATTAAATACTCATTTAATTAAAACAATACTTGTAAAAATTTTTAATTAAAAAGTACAGTATAATTATTGTCTACCACTATGCCTTTCAAAATGATTTAATAAATTATTACCTAGAAACTCTTTGTGATGCTTTTCCAATGGGTGTTCCAACAAATGCCTCAGGCAGCTCTAGATCCGGGAAAGAATATATTACAGGAGATGGTACTTCTACCCTAGGACTACAAAGAAAATAAAAATGTAACTTTTGATTATGTATTACAAAGAACATTAAATTAAAAATTCTGTAAGAAGGTGGGATTATATGAGAAAAGGCTTTCGTTTTTTACTCTGTACATTTCTGTTTATTTTGAAATAACAATGAACATGTTCACTTTTAAAGACAAAAGTCTTCTTGTAAGAAAAGTAGCCAACATAAAAACTTTTTCCTTTTTACATTTACTAACAGCTGCTGATATCCAGGAAAGATTAACAAGTGGCATGTAAAAGGTATAAGAAAAACATACCTATTGTAGGTTAAGATGTTATTTTTAGGTTCACTGCTTGTCCAAACCTCTCCAATTCTAGATAACACATTACTGATGAAAGTGGATCTTGTTAACACAGTCCCTATTACAGCTTGCTTTGGCACTGCTGATAATGGTTTGGGCCGAGAAACTGTAAAATGAAGATTGCAGGATTTAATTTTAGCTCTAATACTAGGATTACAATCGAAGATTAAAAGAGTGAGTGGAAAACACAGATCACAAGATAAGAATAGTTAAAATCATATTTGGTTTAACAAGATCTATGCAGAAATTCAAGACTCTGGGGCTTTTAGGAGATGGTGAAAAATTGTTCTACGTGTTCTCTGAAAGTTAGACAGGAATCTTCAAATGAAATAAAGGTCTTTCATCCTGTACTATTTTACTAAATAAACTGTGAAAACTTCCAAGAAAGGCGTACATTTCTTGGGGTAGAATGGCCAGTATGAATCAAAGCAAAAGTGAGCTAAAATATAAGATAATGACGGTTGCAGAAGATAATCATTCAATATCTTCTCTGGCTCAATGCTTTATGATATTTTTAAATAAAATCTTACCTTCTCGAAGGACTGATGATTTTGACAGACAGTAAGGCTTAGCTCGCTCAATGGCTAATTTTCGCTGGACTCTTGGAAGGATTTTCCCATACTGATCTAATATAGAATTTCGAGTCACTGATCTCTCCCGCAAACGAGGATCACGATCATTCTATTGAACATATTGTAAATAGTAAAATTTTAAATCTTCAAAAACGTTAGGTGCTATGTTTATAAATTCAGCATTTAAAATAGAACTATCAACACCCAAAACTATCTTCCTCCTTAAACATCTATTCTTCCAAACCAAGGACCTCATAAACACATCTAGTTGCTTTACCAACCCTTACCCATCAATAAATTCCAAATCTCTCCTATCCAGACTTGATTCTTCACAACTAATGAACATAACTACTAAATGATAACATTATCACTTACTAAGCTTCTACATGTGTCAGTAACATCTATGTTACTTCACATAAAGCTCTGTGCATCCTCACAAAGAGATAGTCATTTTACAGATGAGGGAACTAAGGCTCAGAGAGAATGTTCCAAGTACACAGAGTGAATTAAGAATCAGTCTGACCCCTGAAGTCCATGCTCTTTGCACTATATAATTTCCAATGCTGTCCTCTACTTCTTTTCGTTTTCCCTAAGTGAAGTGGTTAGTCTGGCAAGATGACATGCAGATATCTAAACAGAAATGGCATGTATAAAATAATTAGATAAATAATAATATCCTATTCCTAATTCTGTTATAGAAATAGGTAAGAAAAGGATTTTCCATGCTCAAATTTATATAAAGCCCAGTAGGTATCAAACTACAAGCTTTTAACATATAACAAAGTCACTAGTTTTCCTTATTCTCTTGCCCCCCATAATAAAACAATTTTAACTATACCATAGCATTAATCTTCAGAGTTTGGTTCAGCTTCAAGGCAGGGATGTAATTGGCACGCTGCAAATGGTGAACTAAAAGGAATTCCTGATTCTGAAAACTTGTGCTGGACTGCAAAAATCTCACCAAACATTCCTAGGAAGAAAATAACAGATTTGTAAACTACTATCCTATCCTGAATTTCTGACAAGTTTATATCGATAAGTCATTACCTGCTCCGTGTCTGTAAATGGTAACTTCAGTAAATCCTCCATCAAGCCCATTTCCTGACAGACGTCATACGTGTGCTTTAGTAACTCCTCTATGTTCGACCTACTGGAATGCTGTCGCAGTAAACTCCAGGCCTCAACCATGCACCTGAAACCAGTATTTGTCAAAGCTTAGTTTTGGAAAAACTATTTAAAATCTTCAAAACAAATAATCCAACTGAAGAATCTCAAAGATACTTTATACATGTAATTCAGAGTACTTAAAATTTTATTAAATACTAATCACTGCATAATGAAGTTTGCTAATGTCAACAAGAAGGCATCTTTAAAGACTTAATTGTATGGTATTCTGTATCATTATTTACATGTAAAACAACAGAAAAGCAAAGTAAGTCCACAGAAGTTCAAGAACACAAAAACTAACATGGTCTGGAGAGAACTGAAAGATTAGAATGGTATGAAAGGAAATTCAGGCTCTTAAGGGAGTGACAGCATGTGAAGAGTGGAAAAGAAAATGAGCAAAGTCGGAAACAAGCACATTGTGTTTATGAGGAGGTGAAGGGTTAAGCTTTATACAAAGATTCTGTCTGGTCTATCTGACTGAAGAACTTGGGTCAAATTAGACACTTTTAAACACCAGTGTGGGGGCACTGAGACATCCTTCTGTGGGCGACAAGGTCATTAAATGAAGCAATGTTTCTCATGATATATTGTTAAGTACAAAAGCGAGCTTAAAACAGTATGAATAGTGATTGTAATTTTTAAAAAATTAACCCATAAAAAAGCCTATAAATGTTTATGTATTTAATTAGATAACAAAAGGTCCTGAAGGATAGACACTAAGACTGACAACGATTAATCTGGCAGTTAGAACCTTCAATGCAGCAGTGGGGGTAGAATTAAAAATGGCAAGTAGGTAGGACTATCGAGGAAACAATTTTCTTTTAAAAAATTCTTAATTCTAAGTCAATAGGTAATTTTGATTTTAGTGGGCATCTTAATAAAAAAGCTTATGCTATAGTTTTTATTAACAAATACTGAAATAAAGACTGGTAAATAAAAGACATATATAAGAAACAGAAGATGTGAACAAAGTTACAGCAATTAGTATAATGAAATGCATCGAAGAAATGTTGGCAGCACTGTCCCAGACTTCTTGTACATATACATTTCCTCGGGGGAGCAAATGGCACCCACTGTGGGCAGGTTAGGGCCACCTGTTAATTTTATTGTTTTGGGACTAGAATATTTTAACATATTCCAAGACCAATGACCTAAATAAGTAAAACATCTAGGAGAATTCCCTAAAACTCAACATTCAAACTGCTTTGTATGTCTGTCTCCAGCAAGAAAGCATGACAGTGTGGTTGTTAGAACCCGAGTGTCTCAGAGGTGCAATTTTTTTCCTTAGTCATAAAATCTGGGTATGTTAAAATGAGCATAATATTTTTGAAGAAAAATTGATGGGGATAAATGAACACCTCATCATCACTTTGAAAAACTATATAAAGGAATAGATGATGCAGGTCTAACAAAATCTTGATCTTTGAATTTGATGTAGGATATGTATGTGGAACCTTCATTGTACTATTTTATTTTTGTGTAAATCTTTTTCTTAGTTTATTTTCTTCTTTTAATTATGGTGACATTGGTTAACTAAATCAAGTTTCAAGTGTTCACTTCAAAGTAAGGCATATACTGCATTGTGTGTTCACTGCCCACAGTTAGATTTTTAAAGTGGTTATACCAAAACAAATTTAAGAATCAAAAATTTAAATGGTAAAGCAAAAACCACAAAAATGATAGTCATACATGAGAATTAAAAAATAATACTGAAGTAAAAAAAGACACAAGTCATAAAAATATTGATAGTTCTGACTTCATAAAAATAATTTTAAGCATAGCAAAATCCATTATAAAGCAAAATAAAGACAAATGACAAACTGAAAAGGAAAAAAAATCTCAAAGGGTTAATATCCCTAATATATAAAAAGCACTAACAAATCAGTAAGAATAATCCCAACAACAAACACGAGAAAACTAGGGGCAACTCATAAAGAAGCAAAAGCTCTTTATGAAAGACGCATTCTCATATAGTGTGACCAGATTAATATTGCCATTTTCACTTGTCAGATGGATAAATATCCAACTAAAAGGCACAGCATAAGGTGACTTGGGGGAGAGGGGGTTAAACTGGCATAACACGTAGGGAGGGAACAATATGTCATACCTATCAAAATTACAATTGCAAATATCCTTTCACCTAGTAATTCCATTTCTAGGATTTTATCTTACAAAATAAATTCGCACTTGTGCAAAATGTGTGGTTACTCATAGCAGTGACTAAAACTGCAAAAGTCAGAATACAACCTTCATTAAGGCACATCCACCCAATGAACTCCTATGCAACAGTTAAAGAAAAGAAAGCTGTTTATGTACTATTATGAAGCAAACTCCAGACTCAATTAATGAAAAAAGTATACTGCAGAGGATGCATATTAGGCTGTTTGTATTTTTAAAGGGTGAGAGAATATATATATATATTTGTTACATATGTCCAAAATATCTCAGGAAGGATACAGTAGAAGCTTAGGAGGCTGGGAAGTCACTGTGTATCCCTTTTGTACCTTTTGAATGAAGCATGTAACCACTACTAAAAAACAAACAAACAAAAAAACAACCATATTCTTGACTCTTCTCCTTTAGCTCATGGATTATTTTTTTTTTAAAGTTTTCCATTTTAAAATATGACATCCACTCCCAGATGCACAGATGTACTTAGTAGGAGTAAGATGAATTTATTTGACTTATCAAAATCAGTCTGATAGCAGGAGCGTATACTTGCAAGCAAAAGACGAATGATAATGTTTTTTCCCAGTTTCCCCCACTGCAGAAGACAGTTATCAGCAACTGCAAGAAATGGCAGCACCACTGCCAACACTTACATAAATTTCAAGATTAGAAAGTCCCCAAATGCCCACTATTCTCCTGTTTATGGCAGAAAAGTCATGATGCTAGGAAAAGCAATGAGAAAATTATTATCAATTGATGAAAGGCTAGACTAGAGTACTGGCAGTCATTCCAAAAAGGAGTATATGGAGGTTCTTCACAATATAGCAGTGAAGACAGCCTGAAAAACACTCCAGTGACCAACTCTCCAAAAATGCTAGGCTGAACATAAAGAAGTTTGAAATGCATAGCGGAGACTACAATGAAAAAAGAAATTTCAGAGCAGTAAACAAGCAACTACTGATTTCCAGTGACCAGCGTAAAAGTAAAAAAGATTAGGAAAAGATATAATGTATGTAATAGAATACTGGTGCAGCTACATAACAATTACTCGTGATGAAGTTTATAATAAAAGGTTAAAGTCATTAAAAAAACAAACAAACAGTTTTAAACTCTTATGTTACCTAATATTCAAAACATAAAAGCTAGCAGTATTATGAGGAATGAACACATTTGCCATTACAGTAGTCGACTTGCATACTTTTCTTAGTAACTTATCAAGGAGACCGCAAAAAAAAATCATTAAGAACACAGAAAAACGAAAACCGCACAATGAACAACTTTGTCTTTTGGACAAATATATCTGACACCTCACCTAATAAATGAAGAATACACTACTAACCAGCGAATAACACAAGTCTTAGGGAATTTTAAAGAACAGGTACCACACAATGAAATTGTTAGAAATGAAGAACAAGATAATTTTTTAAACCCCCCATTTGTAAAATGAAACTTCTTAAATAACTTACAGAAAGAGGAAGAAATCGTAACAGAATGAATTTTAAAATACTTAGAACAGAAATATAATCAAAATTATGCCACAGCAATATGCAGAACATTCAGATTTATATTTACATATTAGTAAAAATAAAGGGATAAAAATGAGAAATCATCCAACTTGAGTTCAAGAATACAGCAGAATAAACCCAAAGTGGAAAGAGAATAAGACATAATGATTACATTTATAACTAAAGGGTTTTCCAGCTCTACCGGACTTTTTAAACTAAGACTGAATACTCAATGTTAACAGCTAAAAACCTAAAGCCTCTACTCCAATTCTATCACTGTACTGTGCATCATGATTAATTTGCAAGCAACCTATTCGTCAAACCACAGTTGTGATATTATGTCCATAAATACAACTCACAAAATTGAAAAGCTACCAGCAGAAAGGTTTTACAGAGAAAAATATTCTTAATAAAGAGGTGGTAGGGGCTATTACAGACAGGAGTCAGCTGATTTAACACTCTCCCTTCAGAAATATATTGTTTAACCAAAGAGAACAAAGAACACTTAACTTTCAGAGTGCTGACAGCTGAAGTACTGTTTGGTTCATAAATGACAATCTGGGGTGAGTAAAGTGACAAATTTCTAAAAATATAAAAATGACCAACCAAACAATTGGGAAAAAAAAAAAAAACCAATTTGAGTTGTATTAAAAAAATGTTACAATTTGCTAAGAAATTTTAGTTCTAAGTAATTTCCCTAACTAATTTAGTTAACAAGAAAACCCAATAACTAGACCACTGTATTTTCAATCTTGCCATTAGTTGGTCTCAGTTAATATATTGATAATTATAATAATTACAGCAATATATATACTGCTACAATATAAATAGCAAATATATAATGCTGATTATAGAACATTAAAATACTACAAAGGGAAGAAAGAAGCAACATAAAGATGTCACCTGTTCAAATCTTATTAAAGTATTAAGATATGAAACATGATACTTTAAATTATTTAAACAAATACTTCAAGATGCTTTCATGAGAATGCAATGACAAATATCAAATGCAAAGAACTATAATACCCAAGCAACTGAAATTAACAAAAATATTAGTGTACCATCATTGGAATATACCCTCGAAGAATATAATTATCAACTCAACATGACTTCACTAGATGATGAAGAATTTTAAGAATATTATGTAATGCAGCACAAGCAAAATATTATATATTGCTAATGGAATTTCATCAATTCCATTAACATCTGATCGAATTTGTACTTTCAAATTAAGTACTTACCTATTAAAAAGCAAAACAGTGAGGAGAAGGACAATATCACTATCACTGGACACTGCTGGCTTCATTGTTTGAATATATCTGAGGGCTTGTCTGTGCTCACCCTGACTCAAGAAGGCTTGAATAATCTTTGAATGCTGCCATGACACAGGTTTTGTAGTAGCTGGGTGAAACAGAAGATCCAAACCACTCTGCAAAAATGACATGAAAACTGGTAAATACAAATATAAGCTTCGCGTTTAGATAAAGTAGCTAAACTTTAAAAAGACAGGCAATACTAAAGCCACAAAACTCACGATAAAACCAGTTTAAATATAAACTGAAAAGATCTACTTTAGCCTATGGTATATTTTATTTTTAATAAAATCCTTATCGAAAGCCTCTTACTTCTGAGACCTCATTAAGCTATTATATAAAATCTTTCTATTACCAATTTCATATATTAATGCCAAATCCTGCCTTCTTTGGTTCCCCCAACACACTAAACATATCTCTAACATAACAATCACCATATGTGCACTATTAGCAATTGTCTACCTGTTCAGTTCCTTCTTTAGAAAGTAAGAAACCTGGGGTTCTGAACAGTGCTTGGTGAAGGTATTGATTAAAATGACTCCTTAAAAGTAGATTGCCTCTAAAAGTAGATTGCATCATATCTTGCATAATGCATAACATCAAATTTAATCCAGTTACGTTATTTTATAAAATTCTAATAGTTTACAAAAGCTTACATTCTAAGTGAACTAATAAACTTACCTCATAGTCACTATGATCTATCAGCCAAAACCCTTGAATAAGTTTAACCTGGCCCCAAGAAATGGCAAAGGCAGTTGGAAATGATTCAATGGAAGTATCCGTTTTGTTTGGGAAGGAATACATAATATCAAGTAGCAAATATATGGTCTTTAAGAAAGCGGATTAAGGACAATAAACAAAAACTCTTACATGTATATTTGTAATAGGTAATAACAGAATATAGCAGAAAAGAGGCTTGAGAGAGTTCTTTTACTGTTCTGAAAGCTGTTAGGGATATCCAGCTATGGAAGTGCAGTTTTATTAGATGTGGATACAGCCAATCCCACAACCAACTTCACCACAAAGGAGATGAACTAAAGCATACTTTCTTCATCAAGTCGGTAGCTTGGAAAATTTAAGAAACAGAGCTATAGACAAAATTCCAGTTATTGAGCAAAACCTGGGAACTTAAAAAGACACATCATGTGTCTTATAAATTATGAATGAAACTACATATTTTTAGATTAATAACCGACATTAGGAAAAACAATCTTACTGCAAAGACAAGGCTGAAAACAATGTCTAAGGTAATATTAAGCTAACTTCTAACGCGTTCATTTTCAGCACTGAGAATGACTACTTGCCAACAATGTTTTAGAACAGTTGTTCTTAACTTTGAGAGTGCCTCAGACACATTTGAGAATCTGATGAAAGCCATGGACCCTATCTCTAGAAAAATAAACAAAACACTGCATAGTTTTAGGTTAACCACAGACCATATGAACCCAACCAACATATCCTGGGTTGAAAATCTTTCCTTTAAAAAACGTTCAAATGTGAATTTAAGATTGGATTAGATGCTTAATTGCCACTACTATAAAATTTTAAAAAGGATACAATAGAATGTTTGCTTGCTTCAGTAATGTTGTCTAGTAGGTAAATGTCAAGTAATGCCTATAAAAGAGATTAAAAAATTCATTGTATTTTATATATTCATTTAGTCATGCTCCTTGTTTTTCCCAAGCCTGCGCCAGGTGTTAAAAATACAGCTAAGCATACCTCCCCTCTCCCAACTTTGTAGACCCTGTAAGTGATATCATGTTATTGCAAACCTACATGCAGACTAGTAGGAGGATATTTTCCTGTGCCTCCTTTATCCCGTTTCCACAACTTCTCAACTCGATCTCCTAACTGAGAAACCATTCCATCAATCATCAAGCAATCAGAGTTCCACTTCCCTCTGCAATAAAGGCAACATTAAGGATTATTCAATATTCGTGGTAATTATTATCAAAACAATAAGCCTTAAACTCTCAAAAGGAATAATCCCAACTACCAATGGGAGAAGAGTTGAGACTAGAACCCCGTTTAGCATCATGACAACTCCAGACATCAAGAAGCATCATGTTCGGTCATCGGCAAGCCAGTCAGTGGAGGTCAGGGCCCAGGAAAGAATGTGGTCCGGCCAGCCAAATGCCTGACAATATTCTATTTTTTACCATCTTGAGCAAATTACCAAAGAGCATGGGAGCCCTATATAGTTAAAATAATACTGCAGTTCAAAGTCGAAGAGCTATTTTTTCATTTTCACCAGCTGGTTAGTCTTTTAACCTCAGTGATTCCTTCAGAAATACATTACTGAGCACCTACAAGGTGACAGGCAAATACTGTCCCTGTTTCCACATGTAGTATTAATAACAGCAACATAAATTAACTGGGCTTTTCCTATGAGTCAGATATTTTAAGAGGTGCCTTGCATAAATTACTATTTAATGTTTATACTGACTTTAGAATTTGTGACAAATAGGATTAGAAAGTTTAGCAAACCTGTTCAAGGACATACACTTAATAAGGTCCACGCTCACTATCGTAGATTAGTTATTCTAAAGCAGTGGATCTCAAAACTTGTCTGCATCAAATTTACAGCTTTTTAAGTACTAATTTCCAGATAATTCTAACAAAACCAGCCTGAAATCAATGTTTGTGAATCATTGTATATGCTGCTCTACAATTCTTTCATTCCAACTTGAGGAAGAAGACTATTTAATCCAGAGGTAGGGCCAGCCTCTAAACACTACTCTTTCTTCTTCTATTCAACTTATTTATTTCAAAAGAACCAACTAGGCTAATATTCCTACATTTTAAAAAAGGGAAAGATAAGGGGGGAGTGGGGGAGGGACAGCAGAAAGTAGTCCAAGCATTGAAATAAAACTGCTAATGGAAAAAGTATAAAATAACCAACTGATGTTATATTTTTATGTTTTTTGATGAATAGTAACTGCTTTTTGCCGAATAATTCTCAGAAAAAATATGTGCTTAAATTACAGCCATCTCTTCTAATAATTAATCATGGTAATTGTTTTACTTAGAAAATAATAAGTAGCTACACTAAATTGAAATAAAAGTTCTAAAATAAAAGTGTAACCATTAGGTCAAGGCAAACATTACAACTAAAACAGAAATGCTGGTAACAAATTCTGACACTTTACTGAGAATTCCGCCCACTTAATCATTTTGTGACATGATAAACTCTAAGAAACCTTTGACTTCTCACAGGAGAAATTTCTAAAATGTTATTTTGAAGGTTCTGGTTGTACTATACCTTGATAAATGCTCACACTTCTGTCGACGACCGGTGTAGTAGTTCTGAATTACAGGGTAGTTGTAGCATAACCTTGATAACTGCACAGCATCATCTAGATTGTTTTTTAAGAGTTGGAAAAAAAACTAGTAATATTTCCAAAAACTCCCAACAATACTTAGGTAATACGCACTGATATTTTACTATGATTTTATAGTTTTTAATTTGTAGGCTTCTTAAATTTAAATAACAAAAGAATACTACACCTCCTTCATTAACAGATGCACAAATAAGAAAACCAAGTCTCTCATAAACGTCTGTAACAGCAAAGATGCTAAGAGAATTAGGAAAGAAAAAGATCAACAGCAATTACACATAGAGGCAGAAGTACATTTAAAAAACATCTAATGTGTTTCCTGGAAATGCAAGAAGTTGGAGGCTTTACACGTGTATTCTAAAAAAAACTGTAAAAGTCAAATTCTCTAATTCATACTATTGGCATGAATCATTAGATAAAAGGAGATATTTAAATGATGGCAAATAATTAGTTAATAACCATATGAAAAGAACTCTTAAAGAGAAAAAGATTGGCAAATTAAATTATAAAACCTATAGTTCTATGGACCTAAATCTCCTAGCTGATGACTGATAATCAACCCAACTTTCAGAAGCATGTTTTGTCAAATATTCTTTCCTTCTAAATGTTATTCAATCCAATTGAACATGCATGGAACACACCTGTGTGTCAGGAATGGAGTCAGGCACAGAAGCAGCAAGGTCAGGAAGAATTTAAGAAAGGAAACCAGTAACAGAATGCAACAATAAAATTACAGATTTAAGAATGTTTCAGTCAATATTGTAGATTAAGTCAATATTTTACCTAAGCCCTCTGGTAAAAGCCCAGAATGAGAGAACCAAAGAACCACTTGTGCATATTGACAGATGAGCTGGGAAACCATATACTTATTGCTTAAGTTCACAGCACCTGTAAAGAAGAGTTAAACATCAGTTGTTTAACTTTTACTTTATCAATCATAAATGAAAAATCAAGACACTCAAAACTTTTAAAAAATTAATTACTTGGTGATTTTTAACAATGTATATGTGTGATTTTTAACAATGTATACTCTCCAAAATGCTAAAATAAATAACTCCCTGACTAAAGTAGACATTTTAGGTAAATATGCTTTGATCTTAGCCACACTACCATTTAACTAATTTCAGAAGTCAAAATGAGTCTATGGCCATGCCACCCTGAACAAGCCCGAGCCCATCTGATCTCGGAAGCTAAGCAGGTTTAGGCTTGGTTAGTACTTGGATGGGAGACTACCTAAGAAGACCAGGTGCTGTAGGTGTAAAAAAAAGGTCAAATTGATGTACTAATATAAACTATATAGTATCATTAATATATGTTGGTCACACCAGGTCTTTAAATAAACTTTTGTTTAAACGGCAAAACAAGAAAAAAAATTACAATGACCTCTGTGAATAAAAACTTATATGTGGTTTTAAAAATTTGAAATTCTACTGGAAATACACTACCTTAACAGAAATTAAGTCTAACTCCCAAATTTCCTAAGCTTATTTAAGCATGGGATCATGGTACATCTAATAACATTCTGTAGCTTTTCATAACAGAGAACAAAACAAAACAAAAAGCATTTAAGAAATAATGGCCTCTTTGCACAAAGATCCATCTAAGAAACAGGGAATTTGTTCTTTCTCGAAGTCAAGACGTAAAATTTAAAAAAGCATTCATTTATATAAGACAAACAGCATACCTCTTTCAGTGATATCTTGGGCCTCTGCGGCAAAACAGCTTAAGACTGTATTAAGGTTGCTAAGAAGCAAGCTGCACTGTTGAATAGACTGTATAGTTTGTGGATCAATGAAACGACGCGAACCATCAAATAATGGTATACCTTTCAAGAATAAAATACACGATTAGTTTCAACACAGTAAATCTGAATTAAATTCACAAATACAAAATTTCTCAAATTCCTATTAACCACAGAATTCTATACATTATATATTAACGAGATTTACAAAGACAAGCTTGGAATGACAAACACTCAAGGAAACTAGAAGGGACAGATACAAATTATTATTTTTAAAAAATGTAGATTGAGGTAAGTGGTATGTGAACACAGAGGAAGGTGATATAAATCCACCTTCGGATTCACTAGAAATCAGTTACTAAATTGAATATTAAATGCTCCTCCTTCAAATAAATTTTTTATTTTAGACCTTTTATGTGCCATGTTGTTCTGCAATTAATATTTTATAAGAACTCTTCCATCTCTAGTCTTCAAAAGTGAGACATTAAAATTAAGACTCACATAAAGACATTATAATAAAATTGCAGGTATTTACTGTAGACTCAGTTGTCCTTTCATTTCAAATTCAAAGCTGAGTTTACAAATCCTTTTTCTGGAAGGAAAAATTATTTTGGTTGCTGTTGGTAGTATCTTTTTGATAAGATTTGACTGCATTAATATTTATGTGTAATTATATTAATATTTAACATGCAATATTTAATATGTAATTGAAAACAAATATCATAACTCTAAATCCTTTTTCAAATCTATTCGCTTTACTCCAATGCATTTAAAATACATATTTTGTACTGTAATTATTTTTCGTTAAAAAAATCTCCATTGATCAATAATGAAGCTCAAGGCAGTAAAAATGGCTGTTATTACCAAGTTCAACCCTGAAATTCCACATTATGTTCAAAGCATAATAAAGGCATACAATTTTACAAATTGAGTTAAATTATTTTTTTACATAACATGTAACTGGCCCTTAAAACATTTCCTCTCAAAAATTTTACTGATTCTGAATTATCAAGTGTTCCAGACTTCAACTGTACTAATTATTAAAATATTTAAAATTACTGACTTCATGTTTGTAGTTTCTAAGTATGCTCTAAAAATACTACAGAACCCGATATCTTCCTACACAATTTTACTGATTTAAAATTCCCCTATTAAGAATAAATTTTTTTAAAAGTCCATTTGTTCATTCATCATGACACAATAATACAATTAAAAAAAAATACTCTAAATAAACTTAAATTTTACTTTCAAGTACGGGGCAACCATATGCTACCTTTAACATTATCTTTGCACTAACTGAACATAATGGGTTTTCAATATTCACGATATCCCAAAACTCAAAGTGTACAACAGACTAATAAACAAGACTGTCAAGAAGAAAAATGATTTAGCATGACTGATAACATCCATTAGAAAGATAATGAGTTTTTACCCTTCTATTCAACTTCTTTATACTAAGAAATATTTTAGATAGAAAATAAGTAGATGAGCTTCTCAGGTTAACTGGCATATTCTCCTTACTCAATCACCATCATTTTTTTTTTTAAACTCCTAAGATCAAAAGATATGTACGGTATAATTGTGAAAGTTGCTATTGTGGATCTATCGACATAGTGCCAGTTTAACAATCTATTGCAAAATCTTGGTCAAAAAATAATTTTGCCACTCTAATGTAAAAAGAAAGTTTCCTTCTGGGACATCTATAAAGAAGATACAACTTCAAAATGATTAAAAATTATTATTGTTATGTACTTAAAAAATAAATCTAGATTAGTTTTAATAGTTTTAATAGAATACTTACACAGTCTGTCAAATTCCTCTTTTGTGAGAATCACTTTATTCCATGTCCATTCAAGAACAAAGCGCAAATTAGCAGCAGAATTTGGTTGTTCTTATTTGTAAAGACAAAAGAAAAAAATGATTATTATTACTACAAAAAAAAAAGAGTAACTTTTCAGTGAAGAAACCTGACAGAAATCACCCTAACCAAGCGAGCAACACAAAAGTCAGCACGAATGGAGACAAACCGGCATTTTTCTCAGTGCAGCACATGGAGCACTGCCGTGAGAAATGTAAAAGCTGAACCTAATCGTGAGGAAAGATCAACAAACAAATGAAAGGCAGCCTACGAAATAAAAGGGTTATATTCTTTAAAAATGTCAATTTCTTTTAAAAGACAAGGCTTAGGAATTATACCAAATTAAGAGAGATTAAAAAGATAAGAAAACTAAATATAATATATATTCTGAATTGAATTTTAGATTCCCCTCTATAAAAATGCTATAAAGGACATTACTAGGTCAGTTAGGGAGATTCCACTAAGTTCTACAGATTTGATAATGGCATGTTATTAATGTTAATGTCTTGATTTTTATAGCTGCAAAGTAGTTTTGTTAAGGGAACATCCATATCCTTAGAAAGAAATAACAGTGAAATACTTATGGGTAAAAAAGCATGATGTCCTGAGCTTATACTCAAATGGTTCAGAATAGTACCGCGTGTGTGTAGGGTATTAGTAAAGAATCAGAATGATACAGACAACTTGGATGGATCCCAGAGAGTTTTCCTGAGTGAAAAAGAGCCAATCCCAAAAGGTTACATGTTGTATAATCCCGTTTATGAACACTTTTGAAATGACAAAATCATAGAAATAGAGGATGATGACTGCCAAGGGGTAGGGATGGGGGCGGGGAGGAGGCAGTAATTGCCAGGAGGTAAGGATGTGGCTATAAAAGGGCAACATGAGGGACTCTAATTGTGATACTGTATTAGAGTTTTGCCAGATCTTACCACTGGGGTGGGGGCAGAGGGATGTGATAGGGTACACAAGATCTCTCTATATCTAACAACTGCACTGTAACTGCATGTGAATCTACAAATACGTACAAATGAAGTTTGACTTATCCCCTTCCCCAAATAACGAATTGATGATTTAAAAAATATAACAGTAATTTGTTAAAAATCATAATCTTACCTTCTGTTATCCAACTTTTGATGCATCCAGTCAAAAGTCCCAGGGAACTTGTATGGATTGCTGCTGACAATATAGCTTCTAACTGTTCTTCCTAAATCATGCAAAAAAAGGGGAGGGGGAGGAAAAATTAAATGATAAGAAAGGTTATGTGATCACAGACTCGAGGTAGCAAGTTCTAGTTCAGAATATAAAAGTTTAAGGGTTTAAAAACATCAGACTCACTGTGATGGCTATATACAACCATACAGTAACGCACGTTGGTGATGTGCGTTAAAACTGGAATCTTCATTCACTGCTGGTGGGAATGTAAAATAGTAAAGCCCACTTTGGAAAACAGTCTGGTAGCTCCTCAAAATCAAAATTATATGACCCAGCAATTCCACATCTAGGTACACGGCTAAGAGAAATGACACATGTCCACACAAAAACTCTATGAAGCAGTGTTATTCATAATAACCAAAACCTGCCCATCAACTGAATGGATAAATAAAATGTGGGATACTCATACAGTAGAATATTATACAGCCATATAATGGAAAGAACTGATACATGCTACAACACAAATGAACCTTGAAAACATTAAACCAAGTCAAAGAAATCAGTCATAAAAAGCCATGTTATTTTATTCCATTTATATGAAATGTCTAGAACAAGTAAATCTATAAAGCCAAAAGTAGATTAGTGGTTACAAAAGGCTGGGGGAGGGCAGGAAGAGAAAGAGGTGACTGCTAATAGGTACGTGATTTTTTGGGAAGTGATGAAAATGTTCTAAAACTGAATGTGGTGACAGTTACACAACTCCATGAATATACTAAAAGCCACTGAATTACATACCTTAAATAGGTGAATTGTATAAATATATATGAATTATATATCAACAAAGCTGTTATTTTAAAAATTATGTGAAGAAAGTTTAAGTCATCAAGGACAAAGAAAGAGAAGGCATCATAAGACAGTTCAACAAAATTTTTGAAAAGCAGTAATTAATAGAGAAAAGGTGGCTTATTTAGCAGTGTGAAGGAAACCACATCCTAAAGTCCTCATAGAGGTGAACTATAGATGAGAACAGTTTAGCTCTCAAAATCCTATCAGGCTGAATTCTTGGAGAAACCAGGTAGAGCAAAGTGGGAGAAAAGGGTGATTAAATGTGGGACTGAAAACAGGCGACAGGTTAAAACTCAGTATATGGAACAGACAGTGCTACCCTTCTGTCACCCTGCAGCAAAGAACTGTGGAGGCCGGCCTGGTAGCTCTTTGGAAAAACTGAATGGCTCCGGAAAATACCTAGGGTTTCCCTACTGACATGATGCACATCTAGTCTCTCATCCTAAAGGATGCCTCCAGGTGAATGCCACACACACAAAACAGTTTATAATCTGTTACTGACTCACTATACATACAAAGAGACCACTAAGGACCACCAAACATTCAAGGATAGCCATTGACATCAAAAAGACAATAATAAAAATGACTTCAGAGAAAATAGAGTTAATGAAGGGAACTAAAATAAAACTTTAAACATACACAGACGATATCTCATCCATGAGACAGATTACTATGAAGAAAGAATGATCAAATAAGAACTCATAGAAATTTGAAATCGGATCCAAATTTTGAAAAATCTAATATAAAAAAAGAAAGATGATGAAGAAATCTCCCAAAGTAGAACCAGAAGCAAAACAGACAGACACGGTTGGAAAGTAAAGATAAACTGAAAGATCAACTCAGGATAGTCAACGTCTGCCTAAAGCAGTTCCACAAAGAACAAAAGCAAATTAAGAAAAGGTTAGGTTGTAGCAATGACAGCCTAGGCAATGTGCATTTTTTTTTTTTTTAAAAAAGGCAACTTGAAAATGCCAGGAAAAAAACAAGTTACATGAGGACAAAAGTTAGTACAGATCACTACATAACTACATAGTGAATAATATTTACACATTATGTAGAGTACAAAAGGAGGGGAAAAAGGGAAAGGAAAAAAATCTCCTGATGATAGTAATTGAATATTTCTTTTTATTTCTATGAAATTAACTATTAAATGCCAACTGTAGGTATTAAACCATAAGCAACAATATTTACATTTCATCTGATGTTTAAAAGCTTTTCCCACCAATTTATCATGTTGCATATCTGTAATTATTCAAAGAAACACTACTTGGGCAGAAAGTTAACAAAACCTTTCTGGTTTTGGTTTTTCTTTTATGTATTTTATTTTTATTTTTCAATCACAGTTGACATTCAATATTATTTTATATTAGTTTCAGGTGTATCGCACAGTGGTTAGGCATTTATGTAACTTATGAAATGATCCTCCCCGGATAACTAGCACCCACCTGGCACCATATACAGATATTACAACATTATGGACTACATTCCCTATGCTGTACTTCACATCTCCTTGGCTAGTTCATAACTGTCAATTTGTACTTCTTAATCCCGTCGCCTTTTTCACCCATCCCAAAACATTTTCTCTTCCCCCATGGGAAAATGACCTGGGGTTGGTTTACTTTCTTCTAGCATATTTTAGTAGCAAATACTGAGTTAAAATAAATGTGAACCATGAGCGGTCACCAGGCAACACTGCTTATTGTAAGATAATGTCTCCTGATCGTTAAAACATATTGGGACTAGAAAAACTGTGAGTGGATTATATTCATGAGGAAGTTAAGATTTCGGCTTCCATGACCTCTGAGTCCTATAAATGTCTTGTTTTGTGGGAAATCAGAACTTTCACTAAAAGGCTTTCACAAGATACTTGTTTCTTTAGAGCAGTGGTTCCCAAAACACTACATCAGAGTCACATCAAGGGCTTATTAAAACACAGATTGCTGGGCTCCATTCTTGGAGTTTCTTTCTTTAAATTTATTTATTTAAATTAGTTTCAAGTATACAGTACCTTGGTTATGGAGATTCTGATTCAGTAGCTCTAGGGTAGGAACCCAAAACCTGCATTTCTAACAAGTTCCCAGTGAAGCTGATAGCAGGGACCATACTTTGTTGCTACAGACCATGAGATTTCCCTAATATGGTTTCCACTCATGTGGTCTCGTTCTCTTGCACCTACACAGGTCTCTGTGGGGCTGGAATGGCCCCTAGACAGCTATAACGACGTCTACTCATGACATGCCTGTGCAGACATGTGTTTCATGTCCTTTATCAGTCTATACAGCTAAGCGAACCTAGTGCCAAGTTATGGCTTATTGGGTCCTGGGAATATGAATTTTAAGCCAAATCCAAGACTATAGCTACTATCATGCAGAGTGAGCTTTATACTAAACTTTTGTAGAGATTATCTAATAGATTTTTATAATAATAGATAGTAACTCACCCAAAAAAGAAGAGTTAAAAATCATCTAACCTGACTTAAACTGGAAGGCTGAATATCCATAAGTCTTGGTGAGAGAAGGCCAGCCACAAGACATCGATTATAACCATCGGGAATGGCTTCATTGAGAGATGGTCCTGATTTCTTTAAAAAAGTCAAAGTCTGTAAAAGATTGATTAGTAAGATATTAAATTTAAGAATATGTAAAAACTCATTTCCCTGCTTTACACTAAACATTCTGAATAAACCACTGAAATGAAAATTGGGGAGGACTACATTTCTGTACTTCTTATAGGAAAATGGTTTATAGCTTCTTAAGCTAAACCGATGCTTACTAGTTACAAATAATACTAGTGATGAGTACTGTAGATAGTTTATGTTTTCCTTCTCTAAAGCTGATAGACTTGGTGACAGATCTTAACTTGACACAGAGACACAAAAAAAACCCTGTAGTTTATTTCTCTTGGTCTAATGTAAAAGCTATCAAAAATGAAGTATAAATATGGTGTTTTTCTACATCTAGCTAATTATCAATGAAAAGGTCTGTCGATGTTTTCTTGGAAAAGTATTTTTCAACATATAATCATCACTCACTCTGTGCCAAGCACTGTACGACAGTGCTAGGTACCTTATTTGCAAAACTTCATTTTTTCATAAGCTTTCTAAGAAAGAGGAAAGGATAAAAGGGGATGTGGTTAAGGCAATGACCCACTTCACTCTTTTCCTTGGAGTACAAGTAGCTAACATCCACAGAAAGCTGCTAAAAACATCCCAATACCTCTCATTAACCTAGAAGAAATCACCATTTTAACCAAAACAGTAGTTTACATAATTAACACTAAAGTTTAAATCCATCGTCTGACTTGAATTCAATAAGAAACACTGTTTACTGTGTTTTTACCTACCTCCTTCTGAAAGCCAGTACAAGTTATATGAACAACTCCTGAGTTTAACAAACAAGTGGCATCTAAAAAAAAGATTTAAAAAAATCCGCTTACATATTACATTTGAGATGGCAATAATACAACAAAATTTTCTTAACACATTGCTAGGCAAGGTATCAAATTATTACATGTAATACATTTTAAAATAATTTTTCCAGGTATTTCTAGTTTAACAAGATACCAAACCTCATCACAAATGCATTAAATGTGAAATATTTAATCTCTTCTAGCAAACAAGTGATTAATTTCTTTATAAAACACATCAGTGTTAAATTTCTCCTGTATGTATATTAATTTCCTAAGTTATCCATACATTAACTGACAATGACAGATAATACTATATACATATACGCACATAAATATACACACATACATATTCTTGCATGTTATTTTTCTCATAAGGTAATGTTAAAAAAGTACATACCAAAATTATAGGTACTTGGGTAAAAAAACTGCTCAGGAGGTGGATATGAAGGAGGAACTCCTCGACTTAAACTTCTCTCATGTACTAATATATCCAAGATGTAATGTGGAGAAGTCCTACTTACAACAGAATCCAGTGACCAAAATGCAAAATAAGAGCAATTATGTAGATATTCTCCCGACCTAAAAGAAATTTTTACAAACTTATTAAGTCACTGAACTGCTACATATACAAATACAGAGGGGTGGGAGGGGGAGAGAATATATCATACCTTAACGAATCTGGCATTTGTGCATGATACCAACGATTTATGTCAAAAAGCCCCAAATATATAGAAGGCTTTCCTTGTCCATATATATTCACTTGCCAGGTAAAGACTGAAACACTGGTGTCAGGAGACAGAACTTAAGAAAAAAGATATTTTTTAAAATAGAATAATCTCAAAATAAAATCCCACAAATAAAAGTACAGCAAATAAATTCATATATGATTTGTTAAAACACAATTCTATCATTTATTCTATAAGAAGAGAGATTCACTTGTATCTTTGCTATTTTTCTATTTTAAGACCTTATTAAAAAGAACTCATCAGAAAAGTTATATCCTGGTTCGTTTTCAGTTAACACTTTGGCAACTTTGAGGTATTGGAGGTAGAAAGTAGAAAATGAATGGTTCATAGATAGTACCAGAGACTATCAATATTTAAAATGGATGTCTTTAGGCCTTAAAGCTTGGAGCTTAATTCTGTAAAGGAATTCTGGTTGAGAAGGACTGACTTAGTTATATATGAAAAAGGGGGGGAAAAAAAGAAAAGTACTTGAGTAGTGGCTATGGAACTGAAAGACAGGAACCAAGAGACATCAATAGAAAGAGAGAGGAAAGTAAAATTATGAGACAGATTCATGGGAAATATAAAAAGGAACATGCAAGTGGGGAAGAAGAAGAGAGTTTGGTGAGATTTTGACATGTTCAGCTAGATGTGAAAACTGGATCACTAACACAGATGTGGAGACTAGGACAGAGACATCTCGTGTGGATGAGCTAAGAGAATGAATCTCGATAAGAACACAAACAGTCCGAACTCTAGTGAGCGCTCCCAGAACTTAGTGAACCTATCACATTAGCACATGTAATCCTCACACCCACTCTTTACAAAAGGTATAAATGTATTATGTCACTCACAGATGGGGAAAGAGGATCAGAAATATTAAATCATTTGTCAAAGGTCACAACTAGTGACAGAGCTGGGATGAATTCATGTTGGATTCATGTTGTGATTCCAGGAAGAAGGAATCACACTAAAGGAGGCAGAGAAAATATTCAAGGCAACCAAGGCATGTTTGCAATATGTGTCTCAAAAAATACACAGAGAAAAACATTATTCAGAGACTATCCATACTGGTGAAAATGAGACCTCATTTCTGTTTGTGTTTTGAGACCTGGATTAAAATACAAGGATTCCTCATTTCCTTAATCTGTTCAATTCTTGAGTTCTACTTAACATTCTGAAGAACAAGAAATACCCAATATTTCACATAGACCTAGATAAATTCCATATTCAGTATTCCACTTTTTTATTGCCAGGAGTGTACACTCTAGAAACCAATATCTGTCATAAATTTTAAATCAAGCATTTACATGATATATAGTAAGAATATTTTTAACTAACCTTCACTTGTGCCTTCCTCCCTGTCACCATGAGATCGAAATTTCTCTATACTCTGGCATCCCAACAACTTGGTATTATTAGTCTGTCCCCTCAAAGGAAACATGCCACCTGTAAGGTCCAGTGTGTATCTTTCTTCACAGTACTCTAACCCCTGAAATATAAAATGTGCAAAAATCTTTATCTTAATAAGATTCTAAGCAAAAAGTCAGTCTAAAATTAAATGTTCTCTAAATTTAAAGATTTCTTACACAAAACAAAGAGAACAAACAAAAATTAAAGAGAACATGTCACTGATAAAGGCTCTAAAATTTTATAAAGCATAAAACACAGATAAAACGCTAGATTTAGTCTCAAAAGTAATTACCAATAAATTTTCTAAAGCTGATATCAAGCATGGGAACCTTCACGCACCACTGGTTGGAGTGTAAACTGGACTAACCATTAACATTATATATACACATACTCTAGGCCAGCAAACCTACACCTGTGTTCTCATTGAAATCCTTGCTTAAATTTTTTTTGCTTAAATGTGTGATGCTTGCCGCTGTCCTTAGTTCACAAGTGGCGCCAGCAGAAGCACGTGTAAAAAAAAAAGAGAGAGAATCAGAAAAAGATTTATAAAACTTTCCCTAGAAAAATGAGTAATCATAAAAATGCTCCATATAATTCAGGGACTCATGGATTCCCATCCCTAAAACCTCAAACACTAGGTTAAGAAAGTCTGTTCTAGAAAATAGAAAATGAGGGTTGACCAAATATGGCTATGAGCAACAGCACCCCAATATTTCTTCAAGAATTCATCTAGAAAAAGTCATCTGAAAGACCAGATGCATTTACCCTCTTTTACAATTAATTGTTAAGGGGAAAGACTGTTTATAAAGTCACTGTTGGTTTATTGCTTGATATGCTAGAGCAACAAAGCAGGGTTATTTTTCTTGGGAACCAATTAGGCCACAAGCTTCAGTTTTGTCCAATCCCCTTATTTTAGAGGAAAGTGATACCTGAAGAAGTTAATAGTGTCACCTTGATAAAACAGCTAGTCTCCTAATCCCTAATCTAATACTTTTTCCATTATATTATGAATACAGTATTAACTTAAATATAAGAATAACTTTTCAATATCTGAATATCTAAAAACAGACTTAAAACAGGTAAATAATGAATGAAGTGGTAACATGAAGCTCTATCACCATTACACCATTTACCTCATATAAGGTTTGTCCTGATGCCGAACACTTTCTATCACCAAAGGCCAGCTGAAGCAGATGTAAACTCAAAACATCACCTTCCCTGAAAGAAACAGAAATTACCTAAATATCATATTAATACATTAAGCATTTCTTACTATCCAAATAAACTTAGTATGCATACAATATTAAGTGCATGTGACAAAACTAAGCTCACTGTGAAGAATTCAGTTTTATTTGGCTGATATCAAAAAATGCAGTCCTTTGAAACAAAAACAGATTTTTAATCTTTTATTGATTTTAGTTAACTTAAGCTGATGTTGTCTGCATATGTTAGGTGACACCTTATGTAGCAGAGACTATAACTGGTTGCTTAGTATTCCTTCTCTCCTTCTTTAATAGGTACGCTTTAATAGGGCTGCCTAAAATATACTATATTTCCCAGCTTCCTTTGTGGCTAGGTACAAGAGGCCCAAGTTTCGGCCAATAGGATGTAACCGGAATTATCCTATGGCAACTACATAAAACCTTCTTCAAGGTTTTTTGCTTTGCTCCTTGTCCTCTTGCTCATTCTTCCTGATCCCCTCCTTCATATTGTGAGGCTTCTACCTAGAAAGATGTCCTGCACCATGAAGATGAGGGCATTACGGAAAGGATATAAAGCAAAGATAACAAATCAACTCTGCACTGCTCAAGTACAGAATGCAGTAAATATTAAGAGTACAGATTTCTAAGCCACACTGTCTGAATTTGAAATCTTATTCTTACTGGCAGATCTTTCTTAAAACATTTTTTACTTGGCTTCCAGGATACCACACTCTCCTAATGTTTCTCATACTACACTATCCTTAGTTCTCTGCTGGCTCTTCTGCCCTCTTATTCTCAATCTCCAATTATCTCTAAATACAGAAAGTTTCTAAAGCTCAGTTCCCAGCTCTCTTCTCTGGCTATTCTCATTCTCTCTGAGGCCAGTACTCAACTGATTGCTTATTATTTGAATCACCAGAGAAGCTTTGAAAAAAATACTAACGCTGAGGGCCTACCATCAGAAATTGAGTTAACTGGTCTAGAGTAGCCAGACCATATTCAAAAACCTACCTCAGCAGGGTCTACAGGGCCCTACAAAAACTCATTCTATTTGTCTGGCTTCATCTATGACTACTCCGCACTCTACCCTTGCTGGCCTTGCTTTTCTCTGAGACATTTTACTATGGCCTTTGTATTCTTTCCCCCAGATCTTCCCATGGCTCTCCCCACTACCTGCCCTGACAGACTTCATTTAAATCTCCCTAACTATACTACCTAAAATAGCAGTTTCCTACTTCACTACACTACGTATCTCCTTTCCCAGCTTTATTTTTCTGTATCACTATTTGAAATTATATTAGATATATGTTCTAGTATATTTATTTACTATGTCTTCCTCACTGAAATGCAAAATCTAGAACAAATTTGTCTTCTGCATCTCTACGTTCTCTAGAACAGTTACTAGCACACAGTAGATGCCCAATAATTTTGTTGAATGAATAAATACATGGACACAAAGCAAAGACTGCCTCTAAAAGACCAAATACTAAACAGGATAAACTGAATACAACCAACATTAAAGGGCAAAAGAAAAGTCATTTTTTTCATTCACTTTTCCATTACTATAAAACTAAATGTGGCTTTAATTATAATTGATTAGCACTATGGCAACAATTTAAGACCTATACTCATGAAATTTTGTAGTGGTATAGTCACTCTACAGTGATTCTTTTTTTCCTATTATTTTGTTCAAACTATCACTGTGGTGGGGATGGGGGAGAGAAAGACCACATCACCTGTCTTTCTTATTTAAACTTATCATCTAAACTGACATTATTTTAATCATAATAAGAATAAGGTGCTGGGAGATTCAATGACCAGGGGGATGGAAGAAGAAACTTTGTTATATTACGCACCTTTGTAAAATAAGAGACTAATCTAAGAATGATTTAAATAGAGTTCCTGATGTGTATATATGTACTATTTATATATGTGAATATATGCTGCTTATATACACATATAAACAAATGTAAATAATTTTGTATACAATTTACGGGAGTTCACTATGTAGACTGCCCTATGTCTACCCACAGACCACAGGTCAGGAATCCTGCTTTAAATCATATTACATACAAATACATACTAATATATATCATAGCCTTCATCAGATTCTCAGGGAGGTGCCTAACATAATTTAAGGATCCTAAACAAAGATTAGAAGTCCACAAAAATACCATTCTCAAAAAAATATCTAACATTAATAGTACTGACAAATGCAACATAAAGAATAATCTAAATTATAAATTAAATTAACCTCGCCCTATTAAAAGACAATTTAGAGTCCTAGAAAGTGGTTTAAAAATCCTTAGAGAATTGTTCCCATGTGTCAATTACTCAATGTGTTGTGGATAATGAAGATAACTAAATATGGGGCCATCACTATAAGAAAAACAGAAAACACAGTTTTGTCTATATTTCAAACTGTGATTCATTTGTGCTTGGAATGCATACTCTGAAAACTACTTCAAAAAAGGACTAAAGGAAGTGCATATAGTTCACAAGAACTTTAGGAGAAAAAAATCAGGAGTAGAGAAAGTTGAGATAGCTTCATGATTTTAAGGACAGAGTGAGCATCACTTATAACTTTAAGAGGGAACCCCTCTAGACTTTTGTGTGGGAATTTAGAAAAAGGAAAAAAAAAAATCCACACAAAGAATAAATTTATAGAACTTACCATCCCAAGAGACAGTATTAGAAGGAAAAATAAGGGAAATAAAAAAACTATCTAGATAAACGTGCCCCTTCATTCCTTACCACACACAGCCTTCACAAGGCTCATTCTTTACTGCTGCTGGCCCACATTATACTTGGGTGGAAATATGGATTTGACTCAATGAGGAGTATCCCAACAGCTGTCTCTATATTTTCATTTCAATTTTTCTCCAGGGTTGACAAATTTCCTAAGTGGCAAATTGTTTCCTCATTGACTTACTACAATGTAAGGCAAAACAAAACCTCAAAGTGGGAACATCTAACACAAAAACTCAAACTGATCAAAATTCAAGTACTTAAAATCTAAGGTAGGATGGGTCTTGGGAAGAGAAAGTACTGACTGGGAGCAATGAGTTCTCAAGATAAAGGCATTTATACCACCAACATAATTGTTTCAGTGATCATCAAAGACCTAAATACCAAAGGAAAAATAAGAGAAAATCAATTGTTACGCTATTCTAGCACTGGAATCGAACAAGCTTAACCAGTCAGAAATTAAACTGAAAAGAAATATTTCTCACTAGTTGTAGTCGGAATGAAATTAGAGCTTATGACACAGGGGAAATTAACCAAATAATTCCTAAAAATATACTGTAAATGCAAGTAGAAAGACTAGAAAACACAGGGATAAATAAAAATGAGCAGCATACAAACAAATAGAAAAAATAAGATTATAAAAGAGAAAAGACGTTCTATGAAAGAAGGTGGAAGGCCATAAAAATTGCCTAATGTATTAAGAGGTTGCCTAACTCACCTGTGTTGGCTTACTCTTTGAAATAACATTGAAACAAGTCAAGCAAGCAGTTTCTTCTCCCTGATATCTTAAGATTACTCGAACAATCATTTAACTTTAAAATCATTTCAACTACGATTTACTAATTCATTAAATTATGTTGCTTTCACTAAAAGGGACAACATAGTACAAAGCTTTCCTAAAGAAATTAATTACTGCTCCATTTTTGACAAATATTTTTAAAAACCACATGTATCACACTTACCCATCTTGTGTAGACTGAACAGCCCACAAGTAACAGCAATTACGAGGATCATTCTCAGGTTCCTGGAAAGTGACAGCATATACAGGAACTCTCCCACCTTCCAATTGTGTGTAGTATCTATAAAAGGCACAAAAATTAATACACTTCATACTTTCAAGTTATAACTTCATGAAAAAGGAAGAAAGTGCCTCAATGTAAGAATGTGAGTAAGAGCAATTACTGTTTATATGATCTTACCTTAAAAAACAAGCAGGGTACAAAATATCAAGACAATGGGCATAGCAGCCATCTCCCAGGGAGAACTCGGAAGGGTTAAAATAACTAAAGCACATGTACATATGTATAGGTGAACTAGTCCTCCCAGTCATATAAATGTATGCCACTGTTCCCCAGTAAGAAGTACCCTAGAAAGAGATGAAATACTGGCCACGACACTCCATATCAGCTGTTTGGGTTTAGAGTCAGTTTCCTCATTACTATCAGAATGAGTTAGAATCTAAAGTGTTCCCATAAACACTTTAAAAGTGTAATTAGCCAAAAGATAACAGTGCTAGAGAAAACACTGTAGAAGCCAGGTTTTCCAGGTACTCCCTTAGTAACAATTTAGACACGAGCGTGTAAAAGAGGATCAGCAAAGAGAGCTGAAATGGACTTCCCATAGGGAGCTACTAGGGAATAGCACCACCACTTTATCACTGGGACTTTGCAGAGAAATTTGACTTTGAGGAAGTGCAAGGATAGTCAGTGTTTACCTAAGAGATTTCTAACACTCTAATATCATCAAAGAACCCAACAATAAGAAATGAGCCTGGTGTGAGATGAGAGAATCTTGTTATTTTTCATCTCTCTTTCCTTCATGTCATTTATTACCAAACTCAGACAAGTAAGTACCAATCTGTTGGCAAGACTAACTGAGCAGAAAGTTGGAAGGGTGACTATTTGTTGACTCGTTTGCAACTAAATTACTAATATGCCTTGAAAAAAAAATGAAGAAATATTAAATTGACAACTGAAGACAAGTAGGTGTCTACTTAAGTCTTAATACAGTTTAAATTAAAAATCTATAATGCCTATTTGCTATCTCCCTCAATAAAGTTATTTCCTCAGCAATTTTAACAATGTAAATATTAATAAAATATTAATTTAATTATATTTGAGAGAAATTTTTCACAGCGTAAACAAATATGTAGTTTATAGTCACGTTTTACTATCAAATTGAACATAATAACTGAAATGCTTTTTAAATATACACTGAAAGAAATCTAAATTTATGTGTTGTCATTCCTTTATTACATCAAATTATAAATTAATGCAATGGAAAATTACGCTCACTTATTCAATCATTAACCTATCTTACTTTTTTCTCTTTAAGATAATTTTTAAATATTAACAATTAAGTACAAGTTATATTCAGAAAGAAAACACCAGTAATCAAATAAAAGTTATACTTACTCTCTTTTCATGCTTTTCATATTCCAAAGTGCTAGATAGCCATCAGAAAAACCTACAGCAAGCTGATTTGTCCTGTGTACATAACTGAGAGTTGAAACAGCTGTCCCTGATGGGCCCACCAACTGGAAACACAGGTGGCGCCCTTCTCGCATGACATTTTCTCTGATGTGTGGGACTTCAGCTGGGATGCCAGTGATGACTTCGAGGTCTAAAACAAACAAAAAAAAAATAGAGAGATTAACAAACTATGAACAGCATAAAAGCAAACATATCACCCATTATTCAAGCTGCAAATGAAGACTATCAGTGTCAAGCAAAATAAGATAAAAACAGCCACCCTTATCTACTTAAATCATATGATTTTCAAAATACGTTTTTAGCTATATAATTTAAAAAACCTCATAGTATATATCAAATATCTAAAAGTAGACTCTTTTAAAAAAGGAATAAACAATTTCGTTAAGAATCATAAATAAGGCTGATAGTTTCTTTATTCAAATTTAGAACTAGCCACTCAAATATTCCTCTTGGAGAAATGGCTGGTTTCAGGTCTGGGAAGAAAATATATAAGATGAGCCTGGCATATCTTGCGTCAGAAATCTAAGCAGCTATCAAAGTCTAAGGGAGATTTGTCGAACTATATAAAGGAGCTCTTATTAGCAAAAACAGAACATTCTAGGCATCAAAAAACAATAATGAAAACGAATGAATGAAACACATTATTACATATGTAAAACCTCATGAGTTCCTGCCTGCCTCACCTACAAAACATCTTACTGAATCATTGGAAATAACTGGGTACCAGCTTCTTACTCTGAAAATTAGTAAAGAAATACTATGCACTTATCCCAACTTTTCTGTCAGTAAAAACTGTTATTTCAGGGTAAACAACTAGCCCTAGATAATGAGAAAATTCTTCTTTAGATTAACAGAATTTTGAAACCATCGTTTTTGCAGCCCCTAATGAAGGAAGAGATGAAGGCAACAATCTCAATGGATGAAACGATCAATTTAGAGTAGGATTTTTCAACCTTAGCTCTGCTAACATTTTAGGTCAGATAATTCTTTCCTGTGGGGGGCTGTCTTGTGCACTGTAGAATGTTAAGCCGCATCCCTGGCCTCTACCTTCTAGATGCCAACAGCACTATCTCCCTCCAGTAGTAACAACCAAAAATGTCTCCAGATATTACTAAATCTTTCCTAGAGGGCAAAAATCACTCCCAGTTGAGAACCACTGATAAAAAGGCTGATGGGAAACTTTAAATAGGAAAGATCGTGCTGTCATTATCTTAACCCACCAATCACTAAATGTGAAACAAGATACCAAGTGCTTCTTGATGTCATACAGTATGAAATACCCAGTACTTCTCAAGTATCTTTGCCAAACGTTAAAGCTGAATTAATCAGATAACTTATAGTTGCAGAAAATATGAAATGTAAATGACACATGAAACAGATAAATCCAAAATGTAATGTATTATACCAGATTACTTCTTCAGCAAGTCAGTGGTACTAAAAATAAAAAAAGACAGGATAGCGGAAGAATTATTCTACATTCAAGGAAACATGACGTCATGTGTAATTTGTGACCTTGTTTGTAACCTGATTCAAACAATCTAAATGCAAAAAGATGTTTTAGAGATAATTACAGCAATGTGATTATTAGACTATACCAAGGAATTATTATTGTTGTTAGGAGTGGTAATGGCACCATGATTGTGTAAAATAATAATTATTTGCTTTAAATTAATTTAGAGGAAAAGGGAAAAAAGAGAAATGAAATAAAATAAATGTACACATATGGCAAATTTTGAAAACTAATTTGACTTTGGGTAATGGGTATGAAGGAATTCTTATATTACGTACTTGAAGATGTCAGAAATCTTTAATAAAGAAAATTATGCAGGCCTGTGTATTGATACAATAGTTATGCAAGGGCAGATTCCCTCAATGCTATTATGAAGGGGGGTAAAATCATATCACACTGTACCTGAATGGTTACCCTTCTGCTTCTGATTTTTTTCAGAAAATAGCAAGTGATTAAAATTTGCTAGAATGAATGGAATATTGTAAACTTATTCAAGAGAATATGGCAAACTGTATATCAACTGTTATGGCAGGATATATAAGAAATACCATTAAGTTTGGAAAACCTGCAAAATAATATTTATAGTATGATAAATGTTAAGAACTTCATTTTCTACGTTATTTGTATTTGTAGTTGTAATAGTAAGTTACTTTTGCAAACAAAAAAATCAATTTTTGTATTAAATTCCAACACTCAATTTTTGTTATAAAATTCAATGGCTTCGTAGTTTTCATAATTGAGAAATGGTTCTGAATCTCTGATCACAATCCAGAGTTTCATTATAAAGTTATCTTTGTGCTAAATTAAGCTGATTGTTGACTTCTGAAATAAAAGATGTTTTAACTTTTTGATCTGAAGTTTTAATTATGAATACAGCGTATTAATTAGCCTTATACCTATAATAACATCTACAGAACACACTCTGTAACAAAACTTCAAGACTAGTTAAATTCTTTATCGATTTTCTCTAAAGACTACTTAAACCATTTCTAATATTCTATGAATTCATTTTACTGTTATTTTTGCTAATCAATTCTTTTCATTTAAACTTTACCCAAGATTTTATTAATCAATCAGATCTTCATACATATCAAAATTTAAGGTATAATCTTTTTATTACTATGAGAATTATTTTTAAGTGCAAATGTGGCCATTATTTTTACCAAATCAAATTTTTTCAGTTCTTATTTTGCGGATTTAAATTTAGTCCAGATGAGGAGGGAAGGAGGAGGGAGACAGAGTAAAGGGGGTCAAATATATGGTGATAGAAAGAGATCTAACTATGGGAGGTGAACACAGTGTAAATATATATATACCTTACTGTTAAAGTGTACAGCTGAAACTTATTGGATTTTTAACCAATGTCACCATAAAAAAATAATTAATTAAAAATTAACAAGCAAAAAAGACATCTGATTTGGTTGTAGCCGCAGTCACCCGATCTAACTATGGGAGGTGAACACAGTGTAAATATATATATACCTTACTGCTAGAAAATAAATAAATAAATAAACAAACAAATAAATTTAGTTCAGATGGTCTGGTTCCTCAGTTAATTTCTGGTCAAATATAATTTCTACCACTTGCAGTTTTATTGTTTTATTACTTACCAAATTTTTTATTAGTTATGCATTTTATAAGTTGGGATGAAATACTGGTCATCTCGATTTCTTAGCTGATCCATAAATGAATAGATCTGCAATATTACACCACCGCTTTAAAATTCAAGAGGGTCCTCAAGGTCAAATGGCCCTTTCCTGAATCTTTATAAGCATTATACATGTTTTAAAAGTTTTTAAGTTAGCTCTCCTCCCTTCATAAACCAATCAAATAAGATTCACATCGTTAAAAAAAAAAAGCATGAAAGCACTTGATAAAGAGTACATTTACAAATACAAGCATTAGTATTAAATGGGAAAAAAATGTCTTCGCTTTTTTTGAATTTGAGTAACGTTAGTTCTATTTCGGGATGTTATTTTGTGAGGGAAGACTTTCAATTACTCTGTTATTTCCTAATAAATTATTTTTTTTGTCTTGGTCTCACCACAGGAACATAAACAGCATGCAAAAACACCAAGCTAGATCCTACGTGGATGGATAATTTTATACTGTCTGATAAGGATCAAGATTTTTAAACCTTTAGCCCTTCTTCTGACATTTACTAGATATTATGCAAATGTGTATCTGAAAACAAGTAAACCAATAACCCTAACTCTTTCAAGATCTATTTTAGTATATGAACACTTAATAAAACAGACTAACATGCGAAAAGTATTCAGTGCCCCAAACAATAGGTCCATATAATAAGAGAAACAAAGGTACATAAAAAAGTTTCTATAAAAAATTTTTTTGACAATTTTAAAAAATCAATCCCTTACATCAGAATATTCAAGTGCTCAATTTTGGGTTTCAAGCAAAGAATGATTACCTGACGCCTCTACTTCATTCTGACTGCATGACAAGTCATCCAGACACAGGTCAATAAGAAGGATCTGTCCAACATCAGTTACCACAGCTGCCACACCAAAAAGCCAGCGTAGACTTGGGTGTAAATGCTGAGTGCTTGCACTGGCTCCTCCATGATTAATTATAGGTTCAATTGCTGTAACCTAGAAAGTAGAATATATGATTTGCTTTTCTTATATAAAATGAGAAAATACAATTAAAAACATATTTTGAGGTTAAAGCTGGTTATAATAGATTTAAACATTTTCTAATATTAAAATCATAAATCTGCATTTGAATTTGCGAATCTGAATAACAATGAAATTTTCCAAAAGGAATTACACCATTACTTCAATATATAACAAATCATGCAGATGGAATAACTGATGTTTATTGAGTTTAATATAAGCCAAGCATTGTGGTAATTGATTCATTTAATATTCACAATAACCCTTTGATATTGGACTGTATGTAATTATACCTGTTTAAAGATGAAACATCCAGAGGCTTAGAAAGTTTGGCTGAATTATTCAAGTCACACATTCATTAAGTGTAAAATGCAAACCTAGATTTTTCTCACTTTAAAGCTCATTTTAACCAGCTACTCTATGATTATATAGCCTCTTCTCTTAAGAGTAAAAATAAATTATTCCAGAAAATTTTTGTTTACTTTAAAACAAAAGTCCTGTCTATGACTTAAAGCCTTAAGAGATCTAATATTCTTCAAAAGGTTTATATTATAATGGACTTCACGCAAAACTTTAGCAGTGACTAAATCACATTCAACAAGGACTGAAGTTAAAGAAAATCATACTTCAGCTACATTATGGAGTTATATTCCCCCCCTTCATCTCATGAATCACATTTTACATGTGTGTACCTAATACTCTATTTTATTTTATATTTCGCTTTCCTTCTGTTTCTTATTAATTAAATATAATATATCAGTATTTGGTGATTTCTACTATAATATCGATAGATGTCCTAGAAAGAAGTAATTCATTATCAATGGTTTATGCATTAATATAAGATAAACTTTAATTTCAGGCTTCAATTTATTATTATAGACAAAAGTGTGGCTGTCTATATTTCATTTGTACACAAAACATTCCACAGTGTTTCTAATTCTGAAAGACGTAATTTCATGAGTTGTCCTCCTTTTCTAAATTATGGTAATAATGTGTATAAATACTAAAGCATATTCTCTTCAATTTCCTCAGTGAGGGGTAAGGAATCACAGCTTGCATTCCTCATATAAACACAATATGAAGTAATTGATAATGCTACCTTAATTAATTTTAAAATAAGGCAATTAAAAGCAAACAAATTTTAGGAGACGCTGTGCTCTAAACAAGTAAAAGAAATAGTTGACTGAACTTCTTCTGAAGTTACCTATCACCACTGTCCCAATTTTTTCTTCTATATTCCCTCTTCCATGTGATATCCAGCCATCCACCCAAATGAGCAACCAGGAACTTAGATTAAGTTTCTTCTCAAGTTTTTCTGACCCAAATGATCAACAAATCCTGTCCATGTTACCTCCTGAATATATGTTGAAGCTGTCCCAGTCTATTTCTACTGTCATTTCCTTAATTCAGTTCATCATCATTAATGACCTGAACTACCCCAATCCAAGGAGCTTTTTATAGAATTTTGGAGGAGGCCCCTAACTGCAAACAAGGCCATTATAATCTCAATCCTCACCATTTCTGGCTCCGACTTCCTACTTTCCCTCTCCCCCAGCCATTCTAAATAAGTCTAGTTTTCCAATACTCCATATACTGTGACTTTTTACATGCTGGTCTCTTTACCTGAAATGTCCAATCTTTCTGAGTAGAAATAATTCAGGTGTCTTCCAAATTCAAATGCTTGACTTTATAGAAGTATTATAATTATGCTGTAATCATATTACCCTTCTGCTAGAGTACAAGCTTTCTGATAGCATGGACCAAGTTCAATTCAACCATTTAGCCTCAAAATCTAGCACACAGCACTCAATATATCGCTAAATTAATTCTGCCTTGAAAATCATCACCACTGGCAAGTATATATAAGATACCACGCTATCAGTTACTTCAGAGCCCCACATTAGCCCACTGGGTCAGTTTCCTCAACTGTAAAAACATTATTTTGTCATTAAGCTCCCTTTTAATTTTAAAAACTCTTTGACTATATACAGTATATATATATATATATGCATACATACATTTTTATGTCTAAGTGCATATTTTTTCACACCATGTATATAAAGAATTCTGCTCTTCCATCATTTCATATTTGTGTGTGTGTGTGCATTTATAAACAAATACATTTTCTCACCATGTATGGAAGAATAGCAACAAACCCCCAAAAAACAGACTGAATTCAA